GATGTCTTTTTACCTCTCTCTTTCACTTTCGCTTCTCTATTGATATGAACAACACAGACTCAGAGGTACTGTAAGACATTTTGAAATGAACAAATAATGAGTGTTTGTTCAAGAGGAGTCCAAAATTCATTCTGCAACAGATAAATGTTAACAAAGATATTTCAGAAATGGTTGGCTCCTGCCTTTCCACTGGCTTCAAACTAACCTTTTACATAAATGTTTTCCTGTGTGTTCTTCTATACAGCAAAGGCATTATTCCTGAAGAGCTTTTTCCTCAGTACCCTGCAGTTACATATTGACATTTAGACTTACAAGTCCTAATTAGCACAACTGATTTTCCTCTGGGAGTTAATATAAATGATAGCAGAAAGAAAAAGTGCTCCTGCATCTCAGCGTTGCAGTCACTCTATCACAGAGCTATCTTAGTAAATCCTTTAATTATGGACAAGCTGTCAGGTTGCTTAATGCTTCCAAGTAGTCAAAAAATGCAGAGCATTCAGCATCAGGGTGGCTCCTTCCTCCCCGATCCCCCCCTCCCCCCGGTAGTTACCACCCAAAGCTGCCCCAGCTCTGTCAGCTCCAGGCATGGTCTGCAATAGCTTGTGGTCTTTTTTATCAAAAGGTATTGAAAGATGCTATACATCCAATTTAGACTAAACTCTTTGGGCCAATGTGTGTGCTATGTATACACAGAAAGTCCTGGGCACCAGGATTAAGACAATTAGAAAGGTTCATTGAACACTACTATTTATAGCCATGCACAATAAACTTGGTAGACTACCTCACAGAAAATGGAAGAAAAGGGAAGAGAAGGAAGAGACAGGTAAATTATTTCTTGAGGAAAAGTGCAACCAGGATGTAAAGCAGAAACATCCTTATCCACACAAGACAATATTAAAATGTGCTGAGCAATGAAGAAGTTTGAAAAAGTTGATGGCACCAATGTTGAGAAACAAGATGACACAGTTTCCGAGATTAGTGGCAGATTTTTTTACTTTTCTGAGTAGAGTAGGGTTTTATCTTCAAGACTGTAGCTGTAGGGAGTCTCCTTGTACCTAGCTAGGAGGTCAGAGTGCACTCAACAGAACCAAGCACTGCACTGCTGTCCCTACCATCACTTATGCCCAAAGCCTTGGGCTGACCGTAGCAAATTGGACAAAACTGCCAAGCAGCTGGACAAATGTAACAAAACATTCTATTCAACAAAAAAATAATTGATCTGGTTCTCTCCAAGGACAAAGTCTAGGTTAATTCGCCCTGCTTATCATTTGGATAATGCCTTCCAAATAAGATTTCAGAAGGACGTGTTTTGAAAGAGAAGAATAACCTTTTGGCTTCAATCTTTTTACATCTATTTAGAAAGTTTCCCACTTTCATATTCCTAAGGGTGCAGAACCACTGAAGGTAGGGATATGAGTGATAGGACTCAGAGTGTAGGCAGGAAACAGTTGTTTCAACCACATTACTGAAGTTGGAAATGGGCAAACGAAACGAGTTGTAATACTGTTTATACTCTACCAACCCCAGCCCCTTATTTTGTTAACTGTAGAAATAATGGTTACTTACATATATATATATATATGTATATATATATATAAAAGAAAAAGCAGAGGAAAACAGAAAAAGGCAAGCTTTTACATGTCAGCTTTAATTTCTATTACTGGGAAGGAATGTCCCACCAAGGTGAGCACCAGCGTGTATCCATTGCCTTAAGCTCTCAGTTTCACCTCTGCTGTCTTGTTTTATTTACAAATGATTTGCAACACACTTTTATCTCAAAGTATGGCAGATGCATCCAGGGACTCTGGTGAAGAGTGAGATCATTACAAATGGTCTGAAACCACCATTCATACATTTTCCAAAATGTACTTGGAGGGAACATTAATAAAAAGAGAAGATTGCAAGTGCAGGTTTGGCTACTTGTCTTGTGTATAGAGACGGATCTGTAGGCTAAGGTCTAAGAAGTTAAGAAGCAGTTAAGTGGTATTAAGAAAGCATTTAATCATTGGTAAGAGTCTTTAAAATCTCACTGGGATACTTTAGCACTCATCTGCTTCTTTTTTTTTTTTTTTCAGCTTTAATTTAATCTGAAATCAACCTAGTTAGAAGAGTGCAATTCCCAGGGGTGTGCACCATTATTCCAATAAAGTGAATCTCCTGTGCTGGCATAAGGTAGTTTTATATACCCCTCTTGGAAACAGGTAAATTTTCCAGAAATATTATATATAAATAACTGGAGAAAACTGGCATGAAAAGCGAGAGCAACCTCTGTGGATAGCATAGATCTAAAGAGAAAGATCTCTGACCACAACACAGAGATTGCCTCTGCTGAGATAACAGAAATTATAGGCAGACCTGACAAAAAAAAAGTCCAAAGAGACAGATGTATGTAGCTAACTTCTCTTGGAATACAGGTGTGGATGTAATTAAAATCTTCTTTTTTAACTATTTTCAATTACAGTTTCTCTATCTATTTAATAAATTTCATGCTATTTGGTTATTTCACATTAGTGGTTCCAGAGAAAATATAATCCTGGAGAGGCGCTAAAGGAAGAACTTCTAAAACCACATCCCTAACTCAGGACTCAGATAAATAGATGACTTCTGACAAATTAAGGAATTGCTAAATGTATTCCTAGTGGTTTAAAAGCACACTTGCAAAGTGATGTGTCTGTCTTCTACCGAGATTTAAGCTGAAATGCTTTATCTCATGTTTGCTATGGGCTAAGGGCATGCATACAGTGCACACAGCTAGTTATCAAAACTCATTATGCTGTAAAATGTTAGACCACTGCTGTGCCTCAGCCCTCAGCCTCTGACAACGAGGACAGAAAATATGCTCATGTCTATCTGAAATGTACAATATTGACTTCACGTATTACCATCACAAAGCTCATAAAGTAGCTGCCATTGGGAATTACCATCAAATGGGGTCTGCCTTGTGGTAAAAAGTAATGTTTATAGGGCAAAAAAAAGATCATTTCTTAAACCATGCCTTTTCAAATCAATTGACTTTTATTAAAATCAATGAAAGTAGTGTGTCAAAAAGAAGAAACGTAGGCAATGGTTGCAGAAAAAACAGCAAGAGTGCTGGAAAGCAGAAGAGAGAAGTGTAAACCTTGAGTGTGAATCCTCAATAAAAGAGCAAATATGGTCAGAGATGTGTCTATGTTTGTCAACACAGGAGCCATGGGTCTTGGGATTTTCCTCTCTCCGTGGTCTTCCTGATTGGACTGAAACTTGTACAAATCAACACTTCAAACTTCAGGGTAGATGTTGAAAAATTCAAGAAGATACTGGAAAGAATAAAAATTGCCAAAACCTTAGAGATATTACTTAAAGTGACAACTGTAATGGGCTCAGCCAGTTTAGCTAATAAACCAAAACCAAAACCAAAACCAACCAACCAACCAAACAAAATAACCCCAAAAAACCAAAACCGGAACAACTGAGAAAATATAGGACTGAGTTTCTACCAACTAGTATAACTAGAGGGAGGAGAGAGGAAAAGGCAGAACTGCAGACAAAGCCAGACAAATGCAAATCAGAATTTATAATTAAAATTTAACTGAGGGGGCAGTTAGTCCTTGGAATAAATTGCCAAGGGAAGTTATGGATTCTTCACTGCTTGAGCCTTCTCAAAGGGCATTTTTTCTCAGTGAACTTGGCCTGAAGACAATGCAAAGTCCATCAGAAAATTATCTGAATCTTTTTCCCCTGAAACTTTATGAATGTGTGGTGGAGAGGAGCTGAAAGTGTGAGCCAAAGACAAGCATTTGCAGCAAAGCAGGTCACATCAGGCCACTGGCAAGGGAATGGTAGTATTATTTCTCCAACACTTTTCCAATCTGAACAAACAGCTGAGATCACTTCATTTTGCTTCATCCCCTCCAATGATCCACTCTCACCTTGGCCAGCCACTCGGGTCCCAGATGCTGATTGCTGTAGGAGGGAATATTTATGTCCCACAGACACAGGTTTGGTGAGCTGTGGATCCCGCAGGATGCATGCTCTCAGCCAAAGTCAAGGGGTTGCTGAAGGACTGTTTCGGAAGATGAGCCCTCTCACTCCTTCTGGAAAGGAGGCTTAGGCTTTTGGAAGAACTCATTTTCCTGCCAAAGATGATAAACTCAACAGAGAGCAAGGGATGCTTTCTGCAGTGTCCACTACAGATGTCTTGGTCAAGTCTAAATTACTAGAGCTAAAGATGCTGCAGGTTTGCAGGCAAAGCTCGGGAATCAACTTGAAGCCACCTGCAAGAGATATCAAGAGCCGAGAACTGAGTAGCACAAACCCCTGGCACACAGGTGGGTGTGATGCCTGAGGGCACTGGCAGAGGGATCAGGTTGGCCCAAAGCGGGGAAGGCTCATATCCCCCCTATCTCAACACCACCTTCTCTCAGCACTTCTCAGGGACTGGAGTTGGAGTGCTGGAGATGGCTGTGCCGCCATCATGCTCAGGGTGAGATCTCCACCACCATTGCCCCATTGGACAATGTGCCGTTCCACAGGGAGCAGGGAGAGAGGTCCCCCCGAGACCGCACTGGTCATGGGCAGCTGCCTCACGGGTGGGTGGGGGTAAATCTGCTGCCCATCCACGCTGGGGGACACTTGGGGCAATGGCACGCCGTGGTGAGTACATGTTGTAGGGCAATGGCAGGCAGTGGCAGGCCCATATTACAGGGCAGTGGCAGGCAGTGGTGGGCACGTATTATGAGATGGTGACGGGCAGTGACAGGCACGTGTTTCATGGGTCAGTGGCAGGAGGGGTCAGGCACATGTTACAGGGCAGTGGCAGGAGGTGGCAGGAGGTGTCGGGCGCTGTCACGCACATGTCACAGGGGCGGGAGCGGAGCGGGACCTCCGCGCTGCGCTCCCCGCCCAGCAGATGGCACTCGCGCCGCGCGCTCCTGCGCTCCCGCAGGATCCCGCCCCGGCGCCGCTCTCGTCCCGCAGGATCCCGCCGCGGTCCCCTCGGTCCCGACCCACAGGATCCCACCGCGGTCCCCTCGGTCCCGTCCCCAGGATCCCGCCGCGGTTCCATCCCCAGGATCTCGTCGTGGTCCCATCCCCAGGATCCCGCCGCGTCCCTGTCCCACGGCTCTGCCAGCTCGCCGCCGGGAGTGCCGGGCCTGCTCCCTGGGGGTCGAGAGCCGTGACCGCTTGCAGCGGGTCCCGACCCCCGGACCGGCCGGGCTGCGCACCCAGAGCGCCCGGGCCCCGCGACAACACCACTGAGCAGCATCTCTGAGGGTGGGGGAGAGTTTCGGGCTTCGATGTCAAGCTGGTAAGGCCACTTCTATCCCACTCCCACAGACCCCCACTTTAGTTAGAGAGGTAGATGGGCTTTATTTTACCTCCAGTCAATCTCTCTTGGGGGACAAAGAGATAGGTTCTTCAGAAAAACAATCATCCTTCCAATGCACACAAGAGCAAAGAGAATGGTTCCCACACAAGAAGATGTAAGGAAAAGGAAATGATGGTCATACAGTTCCTTGTACTCACAGGAATGGACACACATGACAATTCCAATAATTAAGGTGACTCCTTTGGTGCCATCCTTGACTCTGGATTGCTTTCCTGTCCACTGCCCCTCTTTAAAGAGCTTAAAGGCTCTTTCTCAGTGCTGGATGTCATCTGCCTGGAGGTCCACAGCATGACTGATTACTTTCACTTAAATTCCTCCATACTTTTTCCTATCCTGACCCATGTCTCTCTAAGTATCTGCAAAACTACCTCATTGTCCTCTGATCAAGCCTCACTTTCTTTAAAAGCTCTTATTTTTCCAAACAACTACGAAAAGTGGAACAATACGTAGATAGATGGTACCTTGGGATCATTTGTCAGTCACACTGAATAGCGTTTTCTTATTGTTTCCTTGCACTCCCCGTGTGTCTGATTCTGTCTGTGTTCTGTTGTCTAAAATTTGAGTTATAGGCTCTTTGGGATAACAATATTGCAGACATATCCCTGTTCCGTGTTTGCAAGCATTTAACACAGTGGAGACATGGTCCCTGAGCAGCATTTTTAGGGGCTAGAGTAATAAAAATGGTTGTTATTGATGCTATGCTACCCAATACTATAAATTTGTTTGATGCTTCTAATTATAAATTCCTATTCTGGTTATTTATAACTTTGCAAATTTTTATGCTGGGTGTCCGCCTCTGCTTAGATTTTTTTTGGAAAGTTTCAGCAAAAATGGTTATGCTATTTCCCAGAAAAAAGATTATGAAAAAAAGACATTGTTTTGCCAATGTTAATGAATTGGTTGTAAGAATTCTTTTTTGGAAATGCTAGCTACTCCATGCTTTGACTTGAAGGCTGGGAGGCTGGAGGCATCCTGGTGCCAGACACATAAGCATTTGCCCATATTTGGCTGGGTTTTAAACCCTATTCATTAGTAATACAGTAGAGTTTGGCAGATAAATTCCTAAAAATTACCGTCTGTCCTGAGCATGTGCTACCTTTTGCAGGCCAACTGCATTATCTCCACAGAGTTACTTACGCCTTCTGCATTCTTACCAACCCGGGATTTGCTTGCAGATGCTTTTAAAAGCAGCAGCAAGATGGCTCATGACTGGTGCCTTCTGTGCCCACATTCTGCCAGGTCAACAGAGAGTAAGAAACAATCTCACCTGAGTCCAGGCAAGAAAAGACCAAGATCTCAGATATATGTCCAGAGAAGACCAAGAGCCTAAACTGGAAAAGCATGGGAGCTCTGGTGGGTTTTGTCAAAAATAAAATAAAAGGGGAAATTGGTCGGACAAGGTGACCATAATATAAAATCAGTAAGAAAGAACAGGAGCTATATGAAAAACTGTAAGACTGGCAAGATCAGAACAGGACAAAGGCAGGGATGAAGAAAGTCCTGCTGTCCAGGTGAAAAGCCACAAGGAAGGATGAGTGCAAGGACATAGGTCACTTTTGGCCACTGTTGGGATGAAGGGGCAGTTACAAAAGAGAGCAGATGAGATGAGAAGCCAGTCTGGATGAAGAGAGACTGAGGGAGAGATGACTGAGCAGCCTAAGGAGAGAATTAGGAATGGCAGTTAGTGAGAATTGGTCGGAAGAAAGGAAAGATTGAAACAAAGACCCCAAGTGGGAAGGAAGGTGGGAAGTGGACTCACTAGATACAGAACTGATTTGGAGAGGCTGGGTGTGGAGCCAGGGTCAAGTACATGGAAGAAAAGAAGCACAATGAAATTGGCAGAAAAGGTAGAAATAGGGGAGACTATGGATGGGGAGAGAATGTTTTGTGTTATGCTGAATAATGTTTGAGTATGGGATTTCCTATGTAGAGAGACAGGAAAGAGAAGCTTTGCCATAAGAAAGGATTAGAGGGAATAAAGCAAAAAAAGGTCATCAGTGTGTCAAAGGAGAAAAGAAAAATAAGAAAGGAAAGCCTTATAAATTGGCACACATGATCTGCGACCATGAAGACTTGAAATTATACCCTGTTGCTGAAACTTGCTCTGTCTCCATCTGAAAAGTATCTGTGAAGTTCATTTTCAGACTGTGTCTTATGCTCCCTTAGAAAGCTGACCCACCCAGAAGGTGACAGTCTGGTCTCGCTTTCTCTGGACAGAAATTCCGACCCTGTCAGTGACCCTCCATGCTGTCAATACAATTCCACATAGAGGAATGGTGGAGAGGATTTTGTTGGCTTTTCAAAGAACCTAAAAAATTGCAAACAACACTCCCCTCTGCCTTCACTTAAAGAAAGCTAGCTTCAAGATAAGTTATCAGATGGCAAGAAACAACAAAATTACAGCTACTGACTGTAATCTTAGTTTAATGTGCTTCTGTACAGCTGCATGCAAAATGGCTCTATTTGGAATTCACTTTCTTGCTTTCATTTCCCACACTCTCAACCAGATACAGATGTATATGTAGAACTCATAAGAATCTTTGGATTGTAGATAATTAAAAAGTGAATCAGCATAGAATATGCTGAGTTGGAAGGGACCCACAGGGATCATTGATCCAGCTCCTGGCCCTGCACAAAACACCCCAATAATCACACCATGTGCCAGTGAGCACTGTCCAAATGCTTCTTGAACTCTCTCAGCCTTGGTGCTGTGACCACTTCCATGGTGAGCTTGTTCCAGTGACCAACCACCCTCTGGGTGAAAAACTTTTTCCTGATATCCAGCCTAAACCTCCCCTGACACAACTTCAGGCTATTCCCTTGGTCCTGTCACTGGTCACCATAGAGAAGAGATCAGTGCCTGCTCCTCTTCTTCCCCTCACAAGGAATTTGTAACTACAATGAGGTTTCCCCTCAGTCTCCTCTTCTCCAACTGAACAGACCAAGTGCCCTCAGCTGCTCCTCAAGGCTTCCCCTCAAGGCCCTTCACCACCTTCATTGTCCTCCTTTGGACACTCTGTAAGAGTTTAATATCTTTCTTACATTGTGGCGCCCAAAACTGCCACAATATTCAAGGTGAGGCTGCCCCAGTGCAGAGCAGAATGGGACAATCCCCTCCCTTGACCAGCTGGTGATGCCGCACTGTTTGCACCCCTAGGTAGAGTAGTTTTACTGAGTACTAGTTTATACTGTCCATTTTAGTGTGTGGGATTGTACCTGTGTTTGGAAGCTCATATAGAAGTGATGTGACTATCTGTAAACACAAGGAAATCTTAGGAAATTACCTGTGATAAGAGTTTGAAGTTCCACTCTTTCTTTTGGAGGAGGAAATAACTGGGACCTATGTAATTTGCTTTCCATAATTTTAATTTATATCCCCTTGCTTCTGGCTTAGCTTTTATATGAAGACACTGGAAAGATTATGGAGGAACACTGACTTTGGTGCATCCAGTTCACTGATGACTTCCATCTCCTACATCACATTTCTGACATGGATGGTCAATGATAGACCGTTTTGATGAGCTTAAGCCCTGACTGAGTTCTCACTATTCATGCTAGACAGGATGAATTGGGTAAGGAAGGCAACCAGAAGAGTTGGCAGAATTTATCTCAGCATTCTTCCATGAGAAAGCATAACTGATGCTTGTAGGATGGTGAAACACAGCATTCAGCATATTCCAGCTGTGTACCTGGACTCTCCAGGAGCAGCTCTGGCCAGGACCAATTTTTATGCTCATGTAAAGGCAAATATGACCTTTTCTGCCAGATGCAAACCTGCAACAATCATCAACATTTTGGCCACCTAAAAGGAGGTTGCTGTAACATTCATCTGATGTGGAATCATAAATAAACTGAAGGCTATGAAGACTGTTGAGACTTGTTGAAAAGAGCTATATATTAAAGGCTTACGAACTAACTGCTGAACCAGAGTGTACATCCACCCTTAACTGTGTTTCTGTGTACTCTGCATTTTTCTTGATTTTTCTTTGTACGTCTTCCATTTACAAACTTTTCTTATGACTTTCCCAAGCCAAGGCACTCTACAGATTTCTTTCTGAGGGAGCAGGACATGCAAATGGGTCTGTTTCCTTCTTAAATTGATGGACATAGATTTTTTTTTTTATGTTCTGAGATGTTTCATTCATGTCTCACAGACACCTTAATTCACTGCTTTTTGTGGACTCCAGTTCCCAAAAGAGATATTTTTGAATAGGAGAAACAAGGATGTAGCTCAGGCCTTGCTATTAACAAAGATACCATGTTCTTAATTTCCGTGTATGAAGAAATGCATCTGGCTTCTTACTGGATGTGAAAGCAAAATACACAGGCTCATCTTGCTCTAATTGACCTTCCTGAAAGATCTGAGGATTCCTGTTCTAAAAGAAGCAGGAATGATTTGTGTAGTAGGAAGATAAGCTTTCCGAGCAACTGTGTGATAGAAGGAAAATTTAAGAAGCCTATAACTAATATGTAGGGAAGTGGTGGAGATGTGGGCTAAGTGCTTCAAGTGCTGTATGGAAACATGTACTGAAAACTCAGTTAGCTCATCAAAAACTGAGCCTGGTTTTGTTTTGCCATATGGGGACCAGGTTAGATGGCAATCAGAGCTTCAGGAAACCTCCCCAGTTTCTCTTCTTGAAGTGCTCACAAGTGCTCCACAACCTGGATGCAGGGGATGCCACGATCACATGGTCTCCAGGTCACAGGAGGAGTAACAGCAGCAACCTGGAGCCAGAAATGTGCTGCACAGTAGGCTCAAAGACTCTGGAAGTAGCAGCACTGCCACCACCTCACTGCTCCCTACCCGCCCCCCACATGCTGCTTGATGGGAGTAAGAGACTGGAAAAAAACCTATTACTGGTTCAAAACAACTAAGGAGTCTGTGGGAAAGAGAGTAGATCAAGTTTTGCGAAGGTGGGACAGTGCTCTGCTCCACACCACACCCCTGAGAGCCTCTGGGACAGCCCTGGAGTGGTGCCAGTTACTGGCATACCAGCAGCAGTGACCCACCCCCCACTCCTGGAGCCCTTAACCCAGCTCCAGAATGAGACTAGAAGCCTCACCTGGGGGAGAGTGGTCACAGGAGGCCAGAGCAGATAAAAATCATGGCACAAAGCCTCCACGTGTCACACTCCTGTTGTCTTTGGATTTTACAGCAGCCAGACCACGCTGGATCAAAGGGCAGTAGCTACATCTCTCTTTTCTCTCTCTCTTTTTCTATCTTTCTCTCTCTTTTCTTCTTTTTCTCTTAATTTCCGCTTCTTGAAATCTGGGTAACTTAAAGATGGATGGGTTGGAGTCAATGCTTCGTGAAATGCTTTATTGCAATTGAATGTTACCCTTAAAATTTGCCAAGTTCCCTTACTTTCTAAAGTTTGCCACTAAAAGTGTGTTGTTTAACCTCCTGAAAAACCTTGTTGCATCTTTCCCTTGCTCTCGCTCACTGTACAAAACCCTAAAGCCTCTTTAACAAACTCGCTGGGCAAGATTTGGGGCCTTAAAATGGGTTATGGGACATTTGACCAGCAGTGGTTGGTGACACATGGAAGAGGCTGCAGCTCCTTATCTCATATCTCTGTCTGCTACATCTCCAGCAGCGAGACTGGCTTTGTGTCTTAAGTTAGAGTCAATTTTCTAATACAACCTAGTGACAAACTCATTACTTTGGTCCCAGAGCAAAAACCTTTCAGGAGAACTTAGGTAAAAGAACTAATTCCATTCAAAGTGCTTTGCAACATATAATAGAAGAAAAATAAAAAATTTGATATTTTTGATGCTGTAACAAGAAGTTACAAACAGAATGGTGATAGGAGATGTAGCTGAAGGTCCTTTCCTTTTTGACCTGCTTGAGAGGTGGTGATTGCTTGAATCCCAGCCACCCTAAGTCATATGGCAGCAACCTCATTCTCACCAGCATTTTTTTTGTCATTCCACCAGAAGATGATGATTGACTGTTCTCTTCACATGTGGACTTTGTAACAATGATCTGCCTTTTTCCTCAGAAAGCTGAATTACTGGCCTGAGATTTTTCTGTGAATTCCTTAGGGCCACACCGAAAGACCCATATACTTATCTGAAAGAGCGTGGGATGTCCTAGTGGTTGCAACACAGGGCAGAGAAGGGTCCTTAAGAGTGCAAATGGGTATGGTGGAACCAGCACCAGCAGCATCTGGACAGTTTTGGACATTCAAAAATGAAGATTAAAATAAAGATTAAAAGGTGGTTTAGCTGATGAAAAATTGCTTGTCGGTCATCAAAAAATCTTTTCCCTTGTATCTGAGAGACAAACAATGTCATCACACCACAGGAAATCAGAGGATTTAAAATGCAAGAGTAAAAAGAAGACACAATTGATAGAAGGCTCATGTTTACATGGTGCAAGACAATATTATTGCATCATGGATACTGAGATAACTCTCTGTTCGTGAAAAATGCAGGAGGCCAGGGGGGTTATATTTTTTTTATGGGAGGGTACAGACCTATTTGTTATGCAACTTAGACCTAGGAAGTGGTGTGGGGTTGGTTTTGGCTTCTTTGACATGGTTTTGGATAAGATTTTGGTATGTGGGCTTAAACAGAGCTCAGATTGCAAACTTGAAGAATTCATCATTTTTAGTGGCTTGCAAAAGTGGTCCAAAACCGAAATCCTGTGGGATAACTGATGTTTGAAGAAATGCCGCAATTAAAAATGAAATAGGGAACATGAAGTAGCTATTGGAAAATGTGGTTCATTTTATAATATGATTGAATAATAGAACAAACACTTATGAACCCGCAACTAAGCCTGAAAGTGTGGGACCAGGTTTTAGATAGAAATAATATGCAGCCAACTATTTCAGAAATAAGTGAAGTGCTGTAATTGGTGAGGTTCTGAAATGTGTGTGCTGCCAGTTTTTAAATGCACTAGACAAACTAGAATTTGTATTTGTTTTGACTCAGTCCCCTGAAATAAATTTGGATCAGATATTTAAAATCCAATTATGCTATCTGCCATATTTCAAATGCTAAAATAAACCCCCCCAAAGGAAATAAGGTCTCCTTACTGCTTTCAAGTGGGTATTAGTGCTGGGAACAACTGAGGAACACTATCATCTTGGTATCCTCTTGGTTAACACGATGGTTTCACTACACATTTGACTCCCACTAAAGCAATGGTATATTGGAAAAAAAACATAGGAACTTCTTTCTCCCCAGTAAAAATATACATGATGCTCATTAAAACCCAAGCAGGTTGCCAGCGCACCCACATGCTTTATGGTTTGTGTTGTGTTTTCTGAGTGAAAACTTCTCAAGCATTTGAAATTGAAAAAGCAAATTCCAATATGTTTTTTTTCTTTTTTTGCTAGTGGAACTCAAGAAAAAACAAAGGACTGGAACAAATTTTCCACAGTAAGCCTATTGTCCCCTACCTTCAAGTAGTAAATTCATCATTGCATTACTCTTCTTTGGAACCAATGGTTCTCACTTTGATGTACAATGGTTTGTACTTTGATATTACTGGAAATAGAAAAACACAGAAAACAAAAAGCAGGTGTTTCATCTCTTTCCTCTTTTTCATTTAGCATTATTCTCTGAGGAATTCAGTGATGGTCCTCAGGAGCTTTTGACCATAAGTGTGAAAAGAACAATAGGGAATGTGGTCTAACACCAGCCGAATAGACACTGAAGTGCAACTCCCGAAGGACCATTGCACCTATTGCACTCTACTGGCTTGGCAGGGAGACCTGGAAGAACTCTGGGGTCTGAGGCAATAAGAGATTCTGTTTATCCTTCCCAGTGTACTTGTGAGTATTTTACTGTCATCTGAGCATTCATCTCATATGAAAATTTCTCATGAAAATCTCATATGAAAAATCATTTTCCTTGCGATGAAAAAAAACAAACAATGGACAATTCAGTGTATGAATTCTAGAGCTTTCACCCAGACTAAGAGGAGCTCTTGATATTTTACTGCATTGGATTGACTGCTTCAGCTTTCCCTGATTTCTGTACCATGAGTGGAAGAAAGGATTTCAAAAAAATAAATTGTTATTTTCCTTTAGCTTGGGCTCAGCAAGAGTAGCAGCAATTTGTCAGTTCTCACAATGATCTCTGTAATAGCATTGTTGAAAGTCTGGAAAAATGTGGGATATCTCTGGGTTTAAACAATTTTATAAAATTTGGACCTCTCTGTCCTCGGTTTGGCTGCTGTTTGTTTTCCCCACTTAGCTTTGTGGCAATCTTTTTGTGGGTTGAGCTCCAGGCTGAAAGCACCCTGCTTGCTTGAGGTCCTACCCCACCCTCTGCATAAATAATGATCTCACCGCAAGGTCTCCTATGATTTATTTGGCAGGGATGAAATTCTCCCACCTTCTTTTGACTAGCAGTCTGAAATGTTTTCTTTCATGTATCCTCTTGCACTGACAAATTCATCCCTAGGTCCTGCATCCTACCTGCTCCAGTCTGGCCTATGTCCATTAGGCATAGTCTGTGTCTGGGCTGTAAAACTTCCTTCCTTTCCTGGCATTTCTAATAAGGCACTTCCTCAGCTCCAAGAAACCACTTACTGTGTCCCAGGTTTGGACAGACCCATGGTGCCAACTTCCCTTTGCCTGCCAATCTTGCTGCTGCAACTCTTTCTGCTTTCCTCTTTCTTTTTGCCCCAATGACCCATGGGGCTTTTAAGTCCTGTACTATTCAGCTGGGGTCTTAAATGTTAATCAAGAGACCACTGTTACTGTTATTTCAGACCTAAAACATCATTGTACTTTTTATTTGCTCTATTCTGGATACTATGGACTGTAGTGAAGAGAGCAAACACCTTTCCTAGTATATTTCTAAAGGTCAAAATAAATAGTGAAAACAAGATTGGAAATGTTGTCACTGTTTTCCAGACTTTCCGCTCTGGAATGATGAATTTTTTCTTGTGTTTGTTCCATAAGAAATCTTGGCAGAGATTTTCTGCAGCTTTCTCCCACTACCCTGCAATCAAATGCTTGAGCATTTGTCACCTAAGATCTATGCCACTCACAGTGCTGTCCCAGCTTCTGCAACACTGCTTTCAAGTCACCTCCATTCCTATACCAGCAGTCTTTCTCCTACAGAAATTATTCTGCAAACTCAGTGTTAGTCCCCTGAAACGCGACTTCAGAAGTGCATTTATTTGAACTTTTTGTACATGCATAAGGACCAACCTTATGACATGTTTTGTTATGTTTTTAGTTATGAATAGGCATGCAACAGAAACACAGCACCAGTGCTGGCAGCCTGTAATCCCAGATAGCCTCTTTTATGTTACCACTTCCTTCAAGATTTTTGTCATTGTTGGACACGAGCACAAGGAGCACATTGTCTCATCATTTGACCTTCCACATCTCCTCTGACAGTAATTTTCATCTGTCCCACATCTAAACATGTGGGTTGGCATCCAGCTAATTTTATGCAAAATTTGAAAATTCCTCAGAGTAATTTCATTTCCTTTGGAGCTGAGCCGATAAAGCCTCACGTTCATCCTGACTGCTCAGATAATTTTTCTGCCATTTTTAGGGTGGGCAGAGGAAGGAAGGAAAGAAGGAAGGAAGAAAGGAAGGAAGGGGTTTGATCAAACTGTACAATAGCATAATGTAAGCAATATATCTTTAGGATATGAATCTGTTTCTGAAAATTTGTACTGAGCAACAGTCAGACCCAGCTAGGTGGCTACACTCACAGGTTTCAAAGGGATGTTTAACGTCTCATGGGTTAAAATCTTTTACGAAAAGTGAAGGAGTTTTCTACAGTGAATGCCAGTCTTATCTGTCTAGATGGTGTTGAGTGAACATGCCCAATTTTAAAGGAAGGGTGTAAATGGTCATGGATTGAAGAATCTCACAGTTTTAGTGAAGCCTGCTACACAGGCTTCATGCATATGTATTCATATGTATTTCATATTTTCCTATTTTTTAAACTTACTTTACTTCAAATACCTAGAAGCAGCAATTCCCATGTTCCCAAACTTATTTAATATTGATACTATTTTTACCCAGATAAAAATGAAGGCTCTTTCTGATCATTAAGAGCAATAAAAAAATATCGGCACACATATAAAGTCCCAAGAGCTTTCAAGTAACATTAAATCATGCATTTAATAAACCTGTGATTTCTCCCAGTTGACTTCATTATCTGAGGACTGCCTTACCTGTACAACTAACCAGAAGCATTATTAAAATACCAGAGTTTCTGCACTTCTGACTTACCTTTTTCTGGAGTTCATAGGATGTGCCAAAAATGTGAATTTCCACAGCTCTGTCGCATCATCGCCTGGGCACTTTACTGCATCCATTTCACGTAAGGGCACTGACACAGACAAAATGGAAGTGACTTGTAACAGTGATATATTTTGGTGATATGACTACAGCTACTTTATTCCCCTGCCAGTAAAATAATTGATCATATTCTTTACCTTAAAGTCATTGCTGATATTAAACGGACTATTTTTATATTTGCACTTGAATAGCTACATGAGTTGTTAGCAAGATCAGGCGTCCACACTATAAATCCCTTAGGAGAAGGTCGTACAGTGTTCTTGCCTTGCACTCACTTGGCATGGCAGAAGCCATAAGTGGGCTCCAGCCAAAGGTTCCTGACTTCCCATTTTTGGCTGTGTGTGAGACCTCACCCTTTCCACAGAGACCATGAATACTACAGCAGTGAGGAGCGAGGGATCTATCAGTAATGCTGTGTGTCATAAACACAGCCAGTGCTCCCGGCAGGGCTCATGGCCCTCGTTCTAGGGATCGAAGCAAAATATTTCTTCATCACTTCTGAATTTTAGAGCAAACACAGAACAAGCCCATGGTCTCTCCAAACCTCAGACAATTTACTTTGGCTACCAATACACCCACAGAAAGAGTTTTGCGATTTATATATTTATCCTTTCCTTACTTAGTATTGATTCTAAATAAAGAAGAAACCATGCTTGACGGGAAACCTATGAGTAAGGACATATGAATTAAAGAGTTTGTTTTATCTACCCACTTTCCTTCTACTGCTGCCAAAGAAAGTTTTCTTCTTTGTAGCGAAAGTAATGGTGCTCTGCATATAATCACTATGATATAGATTAAGTAGAAGCTTCTTTTTCACATATTGAGTACTGAGACACTGTTAAATTATTATTCCTGCTCCATTATTCATATTACATTAATCTTATCAAATCTATCCAAAAAGGAACATGTACTGACAAGCATTCATAAAAAGCACCTTTCTTATTTGCCTATCACAATAACCTACCGTTTTATACATTTAATTTATTTAGTTCAAGTTTGACAGATCTAATGTCTACAGCAGAAATGAAAAGGAGATACTTCTGTGACAGCAAGTGTCATGGAGAAAATTAATCTGAATTGACAACAGTGATACGTTTCTATAGTTACAATAATTTTATTTTACATCATATGCTTCTATCAGTGGTAAAGTGCAGCCATTTTTCCTCAATGGATAAGTTTAAAATAATATTTTTGTTATGTCTGTGGAGAACTATAATAACCTTGAACCAGCACTGCAGATGCAGGTTGCACTATATAATTAGGTACCCTAGATAAACATTACTGTAGAAGTTAGAACTGAATGAACTTTTAAGGAATGGAAAGAAAGGGAATTATGATCCAGTGGTAAGAATACCCTTCAGGCAATGATCATGTAATGGTGCTTTCCTGAGGATAGTTTTACCCATTTGTTATAGTAAATAAGCAAATATGCTTGGAAAAACTTAGGTCCTCTTTTTTTTTTTTTTTTTTGATGCATGCTTATTCCTTGTTTTCAAATTTCAATGCAATGCATATTGCTGCATGATGGGATGACAAAGCAGTTCAGCCCCTAAGCACTTGCATGCACCAATGCCACTATTGTCCTTCACAGAAATGGCCATCACTTATATGTTGGACCTGATGATATGGTTAATAGGAATAAAAATAAAAAAATCCCACGGAGAAAACAAAACACCAGAGGAAGATGCTAGCCAGATGCAGAACCAGTGATACTTTTCATAACTGCCATAATTCTTTTCCATCCAGTAGTATGAAAAATGGGTGGCTGCTTCTCTGCCATTGTGGCTTTGGAGTCCAGGCAATAAACTCATCTAGGCAACAGAAGCGAATATGACATGATGTTGCTCCATGCAACTAAAAAGGGCACACTGGTGTTGAGGCCAAACTCTGTCCTGAAATTAATTGTGCAAATTTCCAGATGTTTTGGAGGAGGCCTAGTGGTTAAACAATGCTCTGTGAGATCTACGATACCGGAATGTCCTTCCATGTGTCTGGCCCAAATAAAGAGGCAACCTTTTACTCCCTGGTGTGATTCTATAATGTTGAAACTCAGTTTAAGAACTAACTGATGATTTCCTCCTACGCCAAAATAAAGGTGCCTTAATGACAGCTCTGAACTGGCTTGTCATGGTGATAATAAAGGCTTCACTTGTAGTAATGGAGGGCATCTACTCCTCACCAGTGCTCACAGTCTGCATACCATTTCCTTTACTCATGCCTTCATTTTGGTTCTGGGAAAATGGC